GTGCAAGGTTACAGGTTCTTTTTATGTCCTGAAGAAGGGCTTATAAGCCTAAAAGCTTGTCTGGGTTTTTTTTCAGCTGTATTAGTCAATTCAAAGAAATATTACCTTTCCCTGCAAACCTTGTCCTTGGTTGTTTTGGACCATCATAGCTACAGAAGCCCTGTTACTCCCTGCCAGCCTAGCCATTAAACGTGGAGCAACCAGTCCTGATTTAGCTCGCTAAAACTTTCCTTGATTTTTCTGCATCGTTTGATTCAGTCCAGACCAAAAAAAAAATCCCTTCGGCTGCTCATTTCCACAACAGAAGTGTTTTGCTGGATTAGAGAGCTCTTGATATCCCTCCAATCTCAGCTTCTTTCCCAGTGTCATCCGTTTCCTTATCGAGAGGGGTTTGTGGCTGAAGGTCTTGGAGATGAAAATCAGGAACACCAGAGCCGGGAGCGGAGCCCCGTGTTTGGAAAGCGCCATGGCTCAATGCATTCCACATGGACGCGGTAATGCTCCGGCAGCGCCTCGTGCGCCGCGGCACAGGGGCGGTCAGCTCTTGTTCGAGCCCTTTCAGAGAAAAGTGATACACCAAAGGGCATATTCGAGCAAAGGTATGGTTGTAATTAGATTCAGAGCAGTTAAGTCCGACATTCAGCTGTTTTACGCTGGCTGTGCCTTTAAAAGGAAGAGTGTTGAGGCTTTAGGTTTCATGTCTTTTTATTGTTTATTTAGCATGAATTTAATCCGTATCTTTTTTTTTTTAACTTAACTTTCTTTGCGTGCTTCTATGCAATTGCATGAGACAAGAAGAGCTTGTAAGTGTTCTTACAGCTGTGCGAGTTTTGTATTAACAGAGCCCTTACATAATTTTGACACAGATATGTTATGTACACGTCTGCAGTTCCTGAGCGTGGCTCAGAAAAGGCATCCCCCCTGAAAGAAAGAAGGAAAGAGAAAGAGAGAAAGAAAAAGAGAAAGGAAAGAAAGAGAAAGAGAAAGAGAGAAAGAGAGAAAGAGAGAAAGAGAGAAAGAGAAAGAGAAAAGAAAAAGAAAAAGAAAAAGAAAAAGAAAGAGAAAAAGAAAAAGAAAAAGAAAAAGAAAAAGAAAAAGAAAAAGAAAAAGAAAAAGAAAAAGAAAAAGAAAAAGAAAAAGAAAAAGAAAAAGAGAAAAAAAAAGAAAAAAAAAGGAAAAAGAGCCCATTTTGTTCCTGGGGAAAGGCAAAAAATGGAGAGTGAAGATCTGCGTCCCCTGGGGGATGCCCGCACTGCTCACCCAGCTACAAAACCGCCGAAGGCAGCCCCCTGTTCGTGCAACTGTGATTATCGGCGTTCAGGAAGGATTTGGGCTGTGTCTATACAGTGCAATGCTGTGCAGACAGGGACCCCCCTCTTTCAGATTCAAGCCGTTGCCCCTTGTCCTACCACTACACGCCCCTGTAAAAGTCCCTCCCCACCTTTCCTGTAGGTCCCTTTGAAGTACTGGAAGGTCACTACAAGGTCTCCCCTTCCTGCTCCTCTCCAGGCTGAACACCCCCAGCTCTTCAGCCTGTCCTCACAGGGAGCTGCTCCAGCCCCTGAGCATCTTCGTGGCCTCCTCTGGACCCGCTCGAGCAGGTCCCTGTCGCTTCATCCGCGTCCTGTCACCGACAAGCTGCCCGCCCCGCGAGTACAGCTGGTGATGAATTTCCTCCCTTGGCAGACATTCGCCATCCAGGCCTGAGTCACCCCAAAAGCTGGCTCCACGTGATGCTTCTCCGGTGAGTCCGTAGGGAAGCGCTCAGAGACGGCTCTGCCCCAGCCCGGCGCAGCGGGACGACGAGCACAGGGTCCCGCACGCTCTGCGGCCTTGCAGCTTTCCTCCCCTTCTACTTCAGGGATTTTCCCCGTTGGGAATCTCTTGCTGGACAGAAAACCGAAACTAAAGGGCTTCCAATAAACCTTTAAAATCGATTTTTACCAAGTGGGTCCCTTCTTCCACCATCAGCCCTGTCCTCCAACAAGGAGGACGCCCCAGCGAGGGTTCCCCCTGCAGAAGGCACGTGCCGAGGGAGGTCTCCAGCCCACCCGCTCCTGCTCCGCTCTCACGTCCGGGGCAGCTCAGGCACAGACTGGTATCGGTCACACCGGGGTGGACAGAGCCCGGCTGCATCGCACCCTTTCTCCAGGGTATTTATTTGGCCGATGTGGGTGCTCCTGCTTCCCTGCGCGATCTGATCTCCTGCCTGCCGCGACACCGGGCTCCTGCCATCAGTGAAATCCTGGCTGTGCCCCGGATTTGAAGGGAATCAGTGTAATTGTCGCTGGTAGGATCAGGCTAGAGAAAAGCAGGGGGGCGTCAGGTCGTTCGCTCTCTGCTGGGTGTCTCTCTCAACCCGCACATTGCACACACAGACACACACAGACACACACAGACACACGCTCTCGCTTCCCTCCGTGCAGACACGTACACAGAAATATTCTCTCTCGCACACACATACTCACATCTTCTCTCCCACACACTTTCTCTCTTTCCCCAGCTCTCACCCACACATGGTTTTACTCATTTTCCCCCACCTTCTCTCTCCATCTCTCACACACAAGGAAAACCCTCTGAAGTATTTTTAAGAAATAACACCTCTACGTGGGAAAGGATTTTGCACAAAAAAGTAACAGCGGAGCAAAGAGGCAGCCAAGCCGCCCTGGGAAGTTGATGCCCCCTACGATAAAAGCAGCTAATTAACACCCCCCCCCAGTGGAAAAGCAGCTCCACGGCCAGCGAGGGCCAGGGAAAGCCCACACAGGTGTGGAGCAGCTCCCGCGCCCCTGGCAACCAGGCCGAGCCGACCACCATCTCCATCTGCAGCAACTCTTGTCAGATCGGCTGGCCCCCCCCGCCTTTGCTGCGTGAGCCAGAAGGGGCTCTGGAAATCGGCTCGCTCTGCCAGACGGTGCCATCATCACCCGTCGGAGCGGCACAACCCTTTATTCCATTTTCCAGGCCAAACCCCCACATATTGGGTGCTCCATCTTCCAGACAAACACCAGCTTCCAGAGGCAACACAAAGGCGACCCTGGCGTTACGGCACTGACAGGGGAGATGCTTCAGGGGTCGTTGCCGAAGTTTCCACCTGCAGGACCGCAGGCAAGGCGCTTCATCCGAGCGCCTCGGTGGAGCGGTGGCACCGGCAGCTCTTTGGGCCAGGGGCTGGTCAGTTCTGGGTCACCGGGCACGGCACAGCCCCGCCGGGCCCCGCATCGGGAAAACTTGCTCGGTGCCACCACAGCAGAAATCAGTGAGTGTCGCAGCACCGCTCAGCTGTTTCCGCAGCAAACCGCTATCATCGTCTCGCCAAGTTGCTCAATTCCCTATTTGACAGTGAAAATAACACGCAAACCCTTTTTTAAGTTAGTGAGCTTTATTTAGGAAATAAATAAACTTGTAAGAAAATATGAATGATTGTAATAAATACAGCACTTGTCAAAATTACACAGCCATGAAAAGCGTAATATTTTTAGGCTCATTACTCCAGTGTGGTTACAGGGGCTGGCACATTACAGGAAAAATAACTTTCCGTCCCTGAAAGAACATCTTAAACATGGAAGAGAGAAAGAGACAGACAGGGAGACTGAGTGTGCGTGTGATGGCAAAGAATAGCCAGTTCCTTCCCAAACAAGCTTCAGCAGATACTTGTTTATGGGGTGGGTGTCTTTTAAATGTGATACTTCATCACAACTGGTTATTTTAAAGGATGCTGTCGAGATAGAACTGAGAAAATCTCTTCCTACGCCAGCAGTCGGGCTGGAGGGCAGTCACAGCACGTGACATTTCAGCGGTTCTGCCAGGCGGCCGCGGTCTGCACGGTTTGCAAAACAGAAATGGACAAACAGTTTCTCCTTTCCCTTCCCAGCAGCGGGCACAACGTTGGGTTTTCAATCGAGACATGGGAAATATTGCAAAAGCAAAACCATTTCTAGGAGTTACTTCTATTTTAGCGTCTGGAAAGACTTAAATATCAGAGCACTTAAAAAGCCCTAAGCAATTAAAAAAAAAAAAAAAAAAAAAAAAGAGATCAATACTTTCTGGTAAGTCCCTTGCCTTGAAGGTTCAGGAAGTGACCGAAAACAAAGCTACTGAGGGGTCCTTACCACCGCTTGGACTGGCAGCTCTGGACTTCCCGGGGGTTAACAGCCCTCAGAGCTCCACATCCCAAATGGGAAAGTCAAGCAACTCCTCTGGAAATACAAGAGGTGATTTCCCCAAGGCCCAGCATAATCTGGTCACCGACTGCTGATGCAATAGAACATCTCCTTACAGGGCACATAAATATAGGTCTAAAATAAATAGCAAGAAATCACTCATCCGGCACAAGGAACTGAAGGTACAAATGCTGTCCACATCTCACCGCTTTCGAGGTCATCAATAAGCACGGATACACCCAATCGGTGCCTCAGGGGAAGGAATCTGCCCGTCCCCAGTGGGGGAACAGCCAAAATCCCACCTCGGGGCTGCCAGCCAGCACAGTCTCATGCTGCTCCGCACCCCCGGGGCAAGGGAGCCGGAGGACGGGGAAAGCCCAGCTCCCCCCCGGCACCCCCGTGACCCAAGGGGGCTCGAAGGGAGCTGGGGCCGCACTCCCTGCCAGGCGCCTCGGCAGCGCGACCCCCCTGCCTGGGCCGGGTGTGAGCAAGAACAGCGTCTTTTCCCACAAGTGCATCTGCGGGGGGGGTGTGACTGTAATCTACAGCCGAACCGGGAGCGTCGGCTGTTTGGGTGAAATAATCGCCGCTCTATCCGCAGCAGCACCCGCCGTGGGGCGCTGGGCAAAGCCCTCGGCGCACTCAGCAGCAGCCAACTCCAGTAGGCAGGACTTGGGCCGGTGTGGATCGGGCCAGGAGCACGGGCTCGGGCTCTCGGGGTTTTGTGTGCGCAGGAAAACTGATACAAGGTCTCAAGCTGATGGTTGTTGGGGTTTTTTTTTCTTGTAAACTAATGAAATTCAGCGGGTGATTTACCAGACACCCACGTTTCTAGCTTTACTGATTTGTTTCTATAATGCATTTAAGGAAAAGTGTGTCTTCTTTCACATAGGCATACTTAGGTGACTGTAATTTGGACAACGGGAGGAACATGGGACAGCCACTCGCAACATTCATGTCATTCACTGGTCTCTGAAATGAAGCAGAAGTCAAGTCCGGGCGAAACGCATCGATAATGTGTTCCCTGTTATTTTGGTCAAGCAACATAAACGTAACCTGAAAAACAGAATGCGGCAATGATGAGTTATTGAAGTGAAAAGTAAACCAGAACACAGCAGAGGCAGAAGTGCCAATGAGCCGCAAAAGCAGCTGGATGCTCTATCGATAACTAAATACAAATTACAGCGAATGTTTGGCAACCTGCAAGGTCAGTTAACGTGAACGAGGGAGATTGTAACGGTTCCCAGATAAAGTATTTAAAACTTTGCCACCTGCAAAATAAAATTAAATAAGTTAAAGTAAAGAATTATTTCTTGGTAGAGAACTGCACCGTCCAAAGACTTTTTTCCTCTCCCTCCTGACAACTTGAACAAACCCCAGGTTTGGTTACAGCCATTACATTCATTCTGTTCTTGTGGTTTGGATCAAACGAAACAGCTCGGTTGCTTGTACGCAAATATGGAAAAGACACAACCAAAATACCAGTATAGAATCTCCCCATCTCATTACCACTTCCATCGACTCACTGTTCTTTAAATGTGAAACGTACGTAACAATTTTTTAATACAGTGAGGACCGGGAACTTGGATTTCTATTTTTTTTGGCTGCTACATGGCAGTAAGGCTATTTCTACGAAAGGCTTACAGAATTATTACCACACGAAGGCAAGTGCTAGAGCAGAGATCAGAACCCCGCACACACTTTCTCCGCTTTTCTAACCATTGTGGCCATTCTCAGATTGCACTTATCAAAAGGGAATAAATAAGATCAGGCTCACATCAGACACCCACGGCACGTTTGTAAGCAGAACTCCAACCTCGCGTTTCTGACACCTGGGCTTCAGGCAGCAAATCGCAATTCCCTCATAAACTGCTATGATCTACGTGTAGCAAGAGCCAGGAAAAAATATGTCTCTGGCTTTAGCCCAGGTGGACACAGGGTGGGACATATCAAACACCAGCGTTCTGCTGCCTGAAAATCCTGCACGGCAGAGTATGGAATTTCGGTAGGAGCAGCCTTCCCTGCGCGTAAGTCACTGCATTCAGAGACAAATTACTACCCCAGATCACAGCATGGCTAGTAGCCATCGGAGGGGAAAAAGGGAAAGCACTCCAACCTCCGCTGCACTCCAGGGGAAAAGTGCCCCTGTGTTCGCTGGGAGAAGGAGCGGGTTCACGCTGGGATCAGACACGACAAGGTTGCTCTCCTTACCTTGTGCCTGAAAGGCCACGGGAGCAAAGCATCGTAGTCTCCTTTCATGACAACAAAGAACAGGGACACGTGGGTTCCTTTTCCTGTCCCATCCCCGTTCAGATAAACCCTCAGACAGACCTTGTAGCCATACTTTGCCGTGTAGAAAGCTGAAAATCAGAACTCTTCATTAGTAAAGCCTCCTTTGAGAAAAAGACCTAATGAGCACATGGGAAAAAACAGAGTATGACGCGCCTTGCTATCACAGAGATGAGAAAAGACCATCAGTACACCCTGGAGATTATAAGCAATGAAAATCCAATGGTTGGAATCCTTTTAGTGCCTCATGCCTCAGTGAAAATTACCTGTTATTAGCCACACAAGCATATTTTACCTAATCAAATTACTTCTCACATGGGAGATAACTGCTGCAGAAAGCCTTTCGGTACCATCGGGCACCAAGCCGTGGGTTAGACGAGACGGATCCAGCAGATTTCACTGCAAGTAGCTGTGATGGAGGGCAAATTGCGAAATGAAAGCCCAGAGCAGAACACAGCTCTGTGGAAGAGCACATCACAGCTGCCCTGACTGGCACGCAGGAGAGCATGAGGTCTTCGCATAAACAGCATCTTAGCCTGAGGAGCTATTTCAAAGGACCTCCTGCCCACGTGTGCAGGAAGAAGCACCGTTCTAGAGAAATCAGTGGGTTTTCTGAAGGACTGGGTTTTGCTAACGCATGTACACGTCCTGTGTTTTACCTGGTGAATACAAACTGACTGTTCTTCCAGTCACAGAGTCTTGTAACTTCCTGCCAACATCTGTTATTTTCCACAGAAAGACCCCATCGTAAGAGGCTTGCTCAGAGAACAGAAGACTCTTATGAAGACTGCTCAGGCCTGCGTCCTTCTGTGTCAGGCACCGGTGCAACTCTGCAATCTAGAAAAAGCAAATCAGTTCTCAATCAACCCCCCTCCCTAGGCTGTTGTGCTGCAGAAGCAGCAGAATTGTTCTGGAGTCCTCACGTTCTGGAGGGTCTCCTTTGATTTCTTTTTAAGGGACAGTTAGGTGTCAACACGTAAGGGCAAAACAAGTGGATAGAGAGTTCTTTGGTCCTCCAGGCACAATGCTGGTTTAAGAGGATCAGTCAATTAAACAACTGTCTTGCTTGCTCACAGCGTGATCACGGCAAACTCTGAACATTCAAAACTCTCAGGAATATCTAAGTACCTAAACACAGATTTAGATAACAAATATTAGAGATCCCCATTTGAAAATTTATCCAAAACACCAAGAGGATCCTGTTGATACATCCAGGAATTCACACTTCACAGCTCAAATTCCTGTGCCCACCCCTGTCCCGATCTCTACAGCGCCTCTCACTAATGTATGTAAATATTTGTTACCTACAGAACAGGCATGCAGACACTGCTTATCATAGTATTTACCTTCAGTTCAAGGCCTCGTATTATATTTTGATCAAGTTCACTCTGTCTCCGAAAGGCTGTGATTTCCAAGTGAGAGGTCTCCACCTCTTTATTGAGCACTGCCACAATATTCTCAAACACATGTAGCTTATTTTCTAGCTCAGAAATCACTTTCTCCCTCACAAGTTGTTGCAGAACAGACTCATCTTCAGAAAGAGAAGACCCAGGAAAACAGTCTACTTCCAGATCCCCGTTGATTTCCAGCCCGCCTGGGATCTGCAGATCACAGATGCTTTTTCCCGCACCATTCGCACTCAGCTCCGATGGCGGGATGAAACCCTTTGCAGCTCTGGCAGCAGGGCACAAGCTTGCCTTCAGCTGCTTTATGTGCTGCAGCAGAAGCAGCATGTGGGCCGCAACCGCAGTTTGTTCATGCTCCTTTATCTTCTCTTTGCTCCCCTGCAAGAAGACGACGCTGTCAATTCACTCTCGGCACAACTACCATAACTGGCCTGGGGCCAAATCAAGCAACGTTCCCTTTGACTTCCTGGGAGAGACAGAGATGGCACAACTACAAGATACAGGTCCAGCTACACGGCAGCCGACTCTCAGAGAAGACACGGGGAGAGGAAAACCAACAAGCCCTCTAACGATCAGTTTGGGCTGTGTGTTCACGTCTGCACACACGCTACGTAAAAAGAAAACAATTGGCTACAATTTCTGTATTAAATGGGACACCAGGCAGAGATCCCAGAAAGAGTCTCAAATAAGCCAATATTAACACATACACTGCGCGCAAAAGGTGAGGTAAGGCAGGAGATGCCAACTAAAATGCAAAGAAGGCCTGTTACTGTTTTAAGAGGCGTTACCCTGAAGGGAATACCCAAAAAGGAGTAGAACAGTACATCTGATAAACCAGCAGAATTTAATAAACATCTTTTTTTCACCTGAAGTGAATGCACAGCGCAGGACACAGCGTACCACAGGCTGAACTGCACCTTACACACGCTGTGTAACCACGGCATTCCAACATCGCCTCTGCTGGCCTACGAAAAGCGGGCACGCTTTCCCTCTTTTCTTTAAGATATACTTAAATCAAGGCCTGCTACCCTGGACACAAAGGCTACTAGACCAGCGGCACAGTGCTGAGCTGTACACCACTTGAGACCTTCTTGAAGGTGGCTGCTTCACTCACCCGAAATGAACAGC